CTCAGGGACATCCCTGATATCCACAATTTTCTCTTTTAGAGGAGTGTATTCAGACTAAAAAGTAAATAGGTATAATATTCAGCTGCTCTAGAGGAGCTGAGTGAATGGGAAGGAAGTCAATTACCTGACAGTTTTTTCCAGTGTAGCCCAATGAGCAGGTGCAGTGGTAGGTACCCAGGCCATCAACACATGTTCCCTCATTCAGACATGGATGAGAGCTGCATTCATTGATCTCATGGAGGCAGAAGGGTCCAGTGAAACCCACAGGGCACAAGCAAGAGAAGGAGTTAACCCCATCAACACATGTGCCACCATTGAAACAGGAGCTAAGAAACAAAAAGGGAGAGCAACATCAGCTATGTATTTTGTGACTGGCCACCCAAAAGTAAGATTTCTGGAATCTAAGATGTTACAGAGGCAAATACCCCTGAGTACCCCATATCCCATAAACTTTCTTACAAGCTAGATTGGCTGCCAGAAGCTCTCAGGTGCCCATTTCCTTTCTATAACCAAAGGCTTAGAAGTATTTAAAAGGCTGAGCTTATTATAAATACCTAGAGAAAGTGAACTTTTCTAGGTTTTACCCAGTTCTTCTGTGGTTCTCTCATGTACCACATTTCATTTTATCTCTAAGTCAATTTAATTTATAAGAAAAGTGCTCTTCACTATAGAATATTTATAAAATAAAAACAGAACAAACATGTTCATAATATTATAAAAAGAAATGAAACAAGCCTCCCAGAAATTACTTAAAGAATGGTAACAATTCCAATCTTTACAGAGAAATTTGAATTTTTGGATTTTTGAAATGAACGAGAGACCACGGGAAGAACAGAACAGAATTATAGCTCTTTCTGTTCCCTAAGCAAGAAACAAACAATAAAAGATCCTTATAAACTTTTCAACTTCTCATCTTTGACTTTCTAACTATTATATATGTTTATCAGGAATCAGGAACTGGGCAATAGGAGATTGCCCTGTGGACTAGTATCCATGTGGACAGCTCATCCCTGCTCCACAATTCTAGCACTATGCTCTGAAGCTTCCTCCTCTTTCTCCCTTTCTCTCACAAGATGCTGATGCCCAAGTGATTGGTTGTTCACCTCTCAGTGCACTCATCGATGTTGTTCTCACAGTGGACTCCATCAAATCCTGCCTGGCACTTGCAAGTGTAACTGTTGACGTAGTCAGAGCAGGTCCCTCCATTCTTACAGGGTTCATTCAGACACTCATTCACGTCTGTCTGGCACTTATCCTCAGTGAAACCCGGAAGGCAGAGGCAGGAGAAAGTATTCACTCCATCCACACAGGAACCTCCATTCTGGCAAGGATCTAAGCCATTACACAAGAATTAGAGCTCTGAACAGTAGCATCAATTTAATCTTAGATTCATAAAAGTGAATGACCTGAACTAAGTCACACTGAGGACAGCATAATTCTGATCTTTTCATTAAATTTTGCCAACTCCCCCATTTATGAAAATGAATTCAATAGTACTTGCTTGAAATTTTTAACCTGCTTGTTAACTGGAATAAAATTCACCTATATCACCACTAACAGTTTTGTAAAATTAATAGTCATAAAACTTGCATTGGTCCCTTCCACACTTGCAAATCAAACATGTGCCCCAATACACAGAATATAAATCAATACTTTCAAAAGGTATATGTGATGGTGGAGTATGTGGAGGAGGACAAAATACATATATCCATGTTTTCCCAGGCATACTAACTATATAAATTAATCCTCTCTCCGCTTCACTTCTGTCTCCTCCTTCTCCTTCTCTCTTTTAGATTTAAGTAGTCTTATGAAACAAAGTTTAAATAAAAATTGAAATATCACATAGCTTGATCTTGGAACACTTCATATTCATAGTAATAAACCAACAAATTTTAAGCTACAATCACGCCATGGTACTCTACAATTAGGGCATACAAATCAGAACAAGAAAAACAAGATGTAGCTATGGCTCTTAAGGAACTTATAATTGCAAAAACAGGGCTTACATGTAAAATGATATTCAAGTTGTTAAAAATCAGTGGAAAAAGAATATCATTTTTTTTTCTTTTCTTGCAAACTATACAAAGAGAATCTTTTTTTTTTTTTTTTTTTTTAGTTTCGCTCTGTCACCCAGGCTGGAGTGCAGTGGCGTGATCTCAGCTCACTGCAACCTCTGCTCCTGGGTTCAAGCGATTCTCCTGCCTTAGCCTCCTGAGTAGCTGGGATTACAGGTGCCCCCCCACCATGCCCAGCTAATTTTTGTATTTTTTAGTAGAGACTGGGTTTCACCATATTGACCAGACTGGTCTCGCACTCCTGACCTCATAATCTGCCCACCTCAGCCTCCCAAAGTGCTGGGATTACAGGCATGAGCCACTATGTCTGGCAAAGAGAATATCTTAAAAGCAGCCACAGGAGAGATAATTACACACGAAGGAACAAATAAAAGAACTGTTGAATAACAGCAAATTTCTCCTCAGAATAATGCAAGGTAGAAGACAATAGGATAACTTTAAAGTACTGAAGGAGAAAGTCAATTTAGAATTCTCTTTCCTGTGAAACTATCTTTGAAAACTGTAGCCAAATAAAAACCTTTCTGACACACAAAAACAGAAAGATTTCATTACCAGGAGACAAAGACTACACAAAATATTCAAGGAATTTTTTCAGACAGGAGGAAAATGATGCCTGATGGAACCACAAATTTGCATAAAAGAATGAAAACCAACAAGAATTGGAAATATATGGGTAACTTAAAGACTTTTAAATTATTTTTCAAATTTCTTGAAAAAATAATTGAACTTTTAAAGTTCAATTATTATATTTGGAGGGTTTAATGATATATACATTTTATAACAACAATAGAAGAGAGGCCAGGAGGAATGTAAATGTGCGTGTACAGCTCTTCTTCTCTACATAAAGTGGTATGATTGATGGTACATTATAATATGTTAAAGCTGCATACAGTAATCCCTACAATAACTACTAAAAAAGATACAGCTAATGTGGTGATGAATAAATAAAATATAATCATAAAAAGTACTCAATTATTTCAAAAGATGTCAGAAAAAAAGAAAAATGGAAACAATAAACAGAAAGAACAAAGACACAGCAAAGAGCAAGATGGCATATTTTGAAACCAGCCATATAAAAAACTACATTAAATTTAAACAGTCTAAATACCTGAATTAAAAAACAGATACTGTCATATTGGAGAAAAAAGACAAGAACCAATATATTGTCTCTAAAAGAAACCCATTTTAGAGAAACAGGCCAGAAGTAAAAGGATTTTTAAAAACAAACTCTAATGATAAAATAAAGCTAGAGTAGCTATATCAATAACAGGCAAAGTACACTTCAAAGAGAGAAATGTGACAAGAGTTTAAAAAGGGCCATTTTAAAATGATAAAAGGGTCAATTATTCAAAAGGATATAAGAACCCTAAATGTTCATGAACTTAAGATTAGAGTTTCAAAATTCATTAAGACAAAACTAACAGAATTACTAGAGAAACAGACAAATATACAACTATTATAGAAGATTTCAATATCCCTTCATGAATAATAAGTAGACAGAAAGTCACGGAGGACATAAAAGACCTGAATAGCACTATTATCCAATTTGAATTAATAACATTTATGGAACACTCTATGAAAAAAATCTGCAAAACAGACATTCTTTCCCTTCAAAGAAAGAAGAGACAAATTACCAGTAGTAGAAACAAAAGAAGGAAACCATCACAGATCTTATAGATATTAAAGCACCATAAGGGAATGTTATAAAACATATTGATGTTATGTTAATAAATTTGAAAAAACAGATGAATTAGAATAATTCTTTGAAAGATATTACCAAAGCTCAATTAAAAGCAAATAGCCCCATATGACACTATATGTATTAGGAAAACCAAACTCGTAGTTAAAATCTTTCCCAGAAAGAAGGTTCCATATCAGATATTTGGAAGAAAACACACCAGTTCTACAAAAGTTTTTCCAGAAAATAGAAAGAAACACTTCTTGATATGTTCTATGAGGACAGCATCGCCCTCCCATCATGAGACAATGACAGTACAAGAAACCTGGAGAACATTATCCTTCATGAACACAGACATACAAATTCTTAACAAAATTTCGGCAAATCAAATCCAATGACATGTAAAAGGAATAATGCATAATGACTAAGTGGAATATAACTCATAAATTTAAGATTAGTTTAACACTTGCAAAATGTTAAATAATAAAGTTAATCATAATTTACTTATATTAAAAGACTAAACAGTAATATCACCATCTCAACGGATGTAGATACATCAATTGCATACAAAAAAAAAATCAACATTCATTCATTATAAAAAGACAAAAAAACCTCTACAAGGTCTCTCAATTTGATAAAGGGCCTTTATGAAAACCAATAGGTAACATCTTTCTTAGGGGTGGAAAGACTACATGCTTTTCCCCTAGGATCAAAAACAAGACTGGCTTCTCTCACTACTTCTATTTGGCATTTACTGAAGATCTTACTACAATAATACTAAAATAAATAAAAGGCATATAGGGTTGAAAAGAAATTAAAGGCATAAAGGTTATCTTTATTTATAGACAGCATAATTGCATCTGTAGAAAATCCTAGCAATCTAAACTAATCTAGAGGATAACCTAGGAACCTACAACTAATAAGAAGTTAGTTTAGTATAGTTAGAAAAAAACAATAAAACAAAACTAAACTTGACTTTTAAGTCACACAATATGAAAAAATTAATTCAAAATAGATCATAGACTAAAATGAAAGATCTAAAATTACACAACTTTTAGAAGAAACCACAGTAGATAAACCTTGAGTTTGGATTAGGCGAAGATTTGTTAAACAAGACATGAAGCATGAACTATAAAGGAAAAACATGAGTACACTGAATTTCATCAGTGTTAACATCTTCCTCTTCAAAAGAAAATCA